CCCCCTTCAGCTTTGTTTCGCTTAGGGCCAGGACATCCAACTTCTTTTCATTCAAGAGGCGTGAAGTTAAAAGATAAAGAATAACACATAAAGTGGGAGTTGTCACAGTTGCTCTTTGCTGATGACACTGTGCTCTTGGAGATTCTGAAAAGAAGTTGCAGAGGTTGGTGGATGAATTTGGTAGGGTATGTAAAAGAAGAAAATTAAAAGTGAATACAGCAAAGAGTAAGGTTATGAGGATAACAAAAAAGATTAGGTTACGAAAGATTGGATATCAGATTGGAGGGAGAGAGTATGGAGGAGGTGAATGTATTCAGATATTTGGAAGTGGACGTGTCAGCGGATGGGTCTATGAAAGATGAGGTGAATCACAGAACTGATGAGGGGAAAAGGGTGAGCGGTGCACTTAGGAGTCTGTGGAGACAAAGAACTTTGTCCTTGGAAGCAAAGAGGGGAATGTATGAGAGCATAGTTTTACCAACACTCTTATATGGGTGTGAAGCATGGGTGATGAATGTTGCAGCGAGGAGAAGGCTGGAGGCAGTGGAGATGTCATGTCTGAGGGCAATGTGTGGTGTGAATATAATGCAGAGAATTTGTAGTTTGGAAGTTAGGAGGAGGTGCAGGATTGCCAAAACTGTTGTCCAGAGGGCTGAGGAAGGGTTGTTGAGGTGGTTCGGACATGTAGAGAGAATGGAGCGAAACAGAATGACTTCAAGAGTGTATCAGTCTGTAGTGGAAGGAAGGCGGGGTAGGGGTCGGCCTAGCAAAGGTTGGAGGCAGGATGTAAAGGAGGTTTTGTGTGCGAGGGGCTTGGACTTCCAGCGGGCATGTGTGAGCGTGTTTGATAGGAGTGAATGGAGACAAGTGGTTTTTAATACTTGACGTGCTGTTGGAGTGAGCAAAGTTACATTTATGAAGGGATTCAGGGAAACCCGGCAGGCCGGACTTGAGTCCTGGAGATGGGAAATACAGTGCCTGCACTCTGAAGGAGGGGTGTTAATGTTGCAGTTTAAAAACTGTAGTGTAAAGCACCCTTCTGGCAAGACAGTGATGGAGTGAATGATGGTGAAAGTTTTTCTTTTTCGGGCCACCCTGCCTTGGTGGGAATTGGCCAGTGTGCTAATAAAAAAAAATAAGATGTTATCTTCATTATAGAATAATAATAAGATATAACATTTTATATTATAATAATAAGGTAAAAGGACCCCAATGTTGATGTCCCACAGGGAAGTGTATTTGGTCCTCTTCTCTTTCTCATTTACATAAACGACATACCAAATGCATCGCAACTACTCACACCCACACTATTTGCAGATGACACTACATACGTCTTCTCTCACCCCAAGCCCAGTCATGCTAGCCAATACTGTAAATACTGAATTACAGAAAATATCTACCTGGATGATGATTAACAAACTTACTCTCAATATTGACAAAACCTACTTCATACAGTTTGGAAACAGAACCATCGATGTCCCTCTTAACATAATGATAAACGGATCACCTATCACAAAGCTCACAGAGGGAAAATTCTTAGGAATCCACCTTGATAATAGACTCAAATTTCAAACACATGCAAAACAAATTTCCAAGAAAATCTCCAATACGGTACTATGTTCCACAGTCAGCCCTCCTGGCCCTATATCACTCACTTATTTACTCCTATCTCACCTATGGAATTTGTGCATGGGGCTCAACAACAATAAACCATCTCAGACCATTAATTACCCAACAAAAGGCTGCAGTCAGAATGATAACAAATTCCTACTACAGGCAGCGTACTCCACTAATATTCAAAACTCTAAACCTACTCACCGTACAAAACATCCATACTTATTATTGTACCTACTACATAAATAGAACACTTAACTCGGATATAAACCCTCCTCTCAAGCTTCTCCTTACCAACCTCAACAGAACACAAGACCATAACACAAGGGACAGATCACTCTTTGATGTTCCTGGTGTCCATCTCACACTATGTAAAAATACAATGCACATAAAAGGCCCAAAAATTTGGAATTCATTACCTGTGAATATAAAAGAATCACTGCCTGTTTATAAGTTCAAGACTCTTCTTAAAAACCACTTACTCACGCACAACTAAATAAATACTGAATAACTGTATCTCATAAATATATAACCTATAACCCTATCAAACTACGTTTTTGGCAATTACATTACCTAATAGAATACTCCATTCAAGTGAATGCTCAGTAACTCCTCAAATGACCACATGACCTGTTTCTGCACTACAAATCATTGATTTTATTCGATTTGATTGGATTATAAATTGTACTACAAATTTGTACAACATTAATGCTTCTTATTTGAAATACACATTTGTACTTCATGTTGTGTTAGTGGACTGGTGTGGGTCGCATCCTGGGTGTTAGTGGACTAGTGTGGGTAGCATCCTGGGTGTTAGTGGACTGGTGTGGGTCGCATCCTGGGTGTTAGTGAACTGGTGTGGGTCACATTCTGGGTGTTAGTGGCTAGTGTGGGTCACATCCTGGGTTTTTAGTGGACTGGTGTGGGTCGCATCCTGGGTGTTAGTGGACTGGTGTGGGTCACATCCTGGGTGTTAGTGGACTGGTGTGGGTTGCATCCTGGGTGTTAGTGGACTAGTGTGGGTAGCATCCTGGGTGTTAGTGGACTGGTGTGGGTCACATCCTGGGTGTTAGTGGACTGGTGTGGGTCACATCCTGGGTGTTAGTGGACTGGTGTGGGTCGCATCCTGGGTGTTAGTGGACTAGTGTGGGTAGCATCCTGGGTGTTAGTGGACTGGTGTGGGTCACATCCTGGGTGTTAGTGGACTGGTGTGGGTCACATTCTGGGTGTTAGTGGCTAGTGTGGGTAGCATCCTGGGTGTTAGTGGACTGGTGTGGGTTGCATCCTGGGTGTTAGTGGACTGGTGTGAGTCACATTCTGGGTGTTAGTGGACTGGTGTGGGTCACATCCTGGGTGTTAGTGGACTGGTGTGGGTCACATCCTGGGTGTTAGTGGACTGGTGTGGGTCACATTCTGGGTGTTAGTGGACTGGTGTGGGTCACATTCTGGGTGTTAGTGGACTGGTGTGGGTCGCATCCTGGGTGTTAGTGGACTGGTGTGGGTCGCATCCTGGGTGTTAGTGGACTGGTGTGGGTTGCATCCTGAGTGTTAGTGGACTGGTGTGGGTCACATCCTGGGTGTTAGTTGACTGGTGTGGGTCACATCCTGGGTGTTAGTTGACTGGTGTGGATCGCATCCTGGGTGTTAGTGGACTGGTGTGGGTCACATCCTGGGTGTTAGTGGACTGGTGTGGGTCGCATCCTGGGTGTTAGTGGACTGGTGTGGGTCGCATCCTGGTTGTTAGTGGACTGGTGTGGGTCACATCCTGGGTGTTAGTGGACTGGTGTGGGTCACATCCTGGGTGTTAGTGGACTGGTGTGGGTCACATCCTGGGTGTTAGTGGACTGGTGTGGGTCACATCCTGGGTGTTAGTGGACTGATGTGGGTCACATCCTGGGTGTTAGTGGACTGGTGTGGGTCACATCCTGGGTGTTAGTGGACTGGTGTGGGTCGCATCCTGGGTGTTAGTGGACTAGTGTGGGTTGCATCCTGGGTGTTAGTGGACTGGTGTGGGTCACATCCTGGGTGTTAGTCGACTGGTGTGGGTCACATCCTGGGACAAAACTGACCTAATTTACCTTAAATGCTCAGCATAACAAGCAGCTTTCTATATAGTAGTATGTCATTGTTGTCAGCTAGACCTGTATACCTTGTACATTTACTTGTAGTAAATAAAGATATTATATTTTTATATATTATATTATATGCAAAACAACCACTCTGGAAGAATAGAGAAATTCCAAGCGCTTTCGTGACTACTCACATTATCAAGGAACTTGATAATGTAAGTAGTCACGAAAGCGCTTGGAATTTCTCTATTCTTTCAGAGTGGTTGTTTTGCATATTTTGAAATCACCTGTTTACTGTGATCTTATTGCATTATATTATATATATTATTATATATTAAATTATTATATAAACAATTTAACTTATACTGAGGTGACGAACTTTATATCAGTGTTGGGACTCTGGTCATCTTATTACCAATTTATTTATTTATTTCCAATTTGAGCACACATACAGAGGTACAAAAAAATACAGATAAGAGCAGCATGCCAAAGCCACTTATACTATGCATAGCATTACGGGCTGGCTTAAAATTAACTTAAGATTAACTAAGCAATGATAAAATCAGTGATAAAACATTAATGTAAACAGATTACTATAAAGCACAAGTGAGTATTACAAAGACAGGTCATATGGTTGCATTCAGTCATATGAAGGATTCTGTTAGGTAGTGTATTTAAAAAATAATAAAGTTAGATTCGGTTTTAGGTTTAACATTTATGTGATATAATTGTGAGAAACATTTAAGATATACAATTTATAAGGTTCAGTTATTCAGTATTTATTTGGTTTTGGGTGAGTAAGTGATCTTTGAGAAGAGACTTGAATTTATAAACAGGTAGTGTTTCTTTTATATTTACAGGTAATGAATTCCAGATTTTAGGGCCTTTTATGTGCATTGAGTTTTTGCATAGTGTGAGATGGACACGAGAAACATCAAAGAGTGATCTGTGCCTTGTGTTATGGTCATGTGTTCTGTTGAGGTTGGCAAGGAGATGTTTGAGGGGAGGGTTAATATCAGAGTTAAGTGTTCTATGTATGTAATAGGTGCAGTAATAAGTATGGATGTTTTGTATGGTGAGTAGGTTTAGTGTATTGAATATTGGTGGAGTGTGCTGCCTGTAGTGAGAATTTGTTATCATTCTAACTGCAGCCTTTTGTTGGGTAATTAGTGGTCTGAGATGGTTAATTGTTGTTGAGCCCCATGCACAAATTCCGTAGGTGAGATAGGGGTAAATAAGAGAGTGATATAGGGCCAGGAGGGCTGACTGTGGAAGTAAAGTCTGTCTGTACTACACAACTCTTTACACAATACTTACTATGTATAAATGTTGAATAAATATTCATCAGTTGCTTTATTTGTCACTTTTTAATGTTACGACGACTACCCCAGCTGTTGTTGTTGTTGGGTGTCAGGGTTGTAGGAGAGAGAGGAGCCGTGGTGCCTCTACCGTCATGCAGCTCGACTCACACAGCGACCCTTATTAATGACGAACAAAAAAGGCACAATACCGTGACTAGAACAACTCGCACACAAGAGGGAAAAGCTTATGATAACGTTTCGGTCCGAACTGGACCATTTACAAGTCACACTAAAATACGAAGGGCCCCCAGTGGAAAGATTTAGATTTTGCCACCGAAGTGGCTAGTTTATTGTGCACCCCATATCCATCCTGTGGTCAGTAGCTCAAGAGCATATGGATACACAAAAGGCCCAAGAACTAGGCCCCAAGGAGTTAACAGTGAGGACGTATGTGTGCTCTCCTTGGACTGAACCACGATGCCCTCCATCGAGCAACTTGATGGAACTTATTCGGTCCGAAAAGTCCCAATGAGGAAAAACACACCGTTCGATGGCCCTTATACCCAACCCGAAACACAAACATTCCCTCCCGAGTTGGCGTGGGTAGAGGGTAGGCACTACTTGATTTATAGATTTACCCTTCGGGTAAGAAGTAGGTAGTTTTACCGTTAGTACACTAATATTAGGATTATTAAAGCAACTGTAGATAATAATAATGTAGACCTAAGACCTTAACATAGGTAGTAATAGGCCGGTAATGTAGGCAAACACTAGGTTAAGTTAGCTAGGGAGAACTGGCAGCCCTAGTTTGAACAATGAGGTGCGGGTCTCGAAGACACGAGTGCGCCCGTCTTTAGACAGACACTGTGGAAATTTATTTGGTCCCTAAAGTTCCACAGGACAGATCCAGCATGGCCGTATGGGACGGCTGAGCTGGATGGCCCTTATACCCCACCCAAACAAATAGCATTCTCTCTCGTTGGCATGGATTGTTGGTAAGGTTATTTAAATTTATAGATTTACTCTTCAGGGAAGGAGTAGGTAGTTTTACTGGTAGTACACTAATATTAGGATTATTGAGACAACTGTAGATAATAATAATGTAGACCTTAACATAGGTAGTAATAGGCCGATAATGTAGGCAAACACTAGGATAAGTTAGCTAGGGAGAACTGGCAGCCCTAGTTTGAACGAAGAGACGAGGGTCTGCAAGAGGGACCAGCTCGTTCTTCTTAAGATGGACACCATCAAGACAAGACGTGCCGTGATCAGCAGACGGCGCCCCCACGTGTCTTCACATCTAAGACTTGGGGAAATCTGGTAGAGGCACCTCGATGTACCGTAGATGACCTCCGTCAGGCCCATACAGTAAGACAAGACCTTCACCTTTTTTCTCGTAGATTACTGGCCAGTGTTTGGGGAGATTGTGAGTTGAGGTTTACTGTGGGCCCGGTTGCAACAGGTTGAGAATGCCCAGTAAGTACCAGTGTCTCAGAGCAGTCTAGAAGCTAGTGTCTGAGTCTGCATAGTTATACTAGGGGATACATACCCTCTTGGATATAGGAATTTCTGAGGTGCAGGCAGGACACTAATTATGATTGAATATTGCAGGAATTAATGCTCCCGGTTGCATGTGGTTTCTGAGGGGGAGTCCAAAGGGGCTAAGGCTAGCTTAGGGAAGTGAAGATCAGGATATATGCTGCAACACCAAGTAAGTTAGTCCTTTATACGTGCATGCAGGTGAGGTTTCTTGCAATACCAATCATTTGTGAAAATCTGTCCTATAAGCCACTTGTGAGGCTGAGGTACCCACCTCAGAGCTCGGTGTCAACAGAGTTTGCCAGGGTAGGTGACTCACTTGGAGGCAGTCCACACAAATTTTCACAGACACCAACTGGACAACATGTGCCGTGTTCAGCAGACGGCGCCCCCCACTTGTCTTCACATATGAGACCTGGGGAAATCTGGTAGAGGCACCTCGATGTACCATAGATGACCTCCTCCATCAAGCCCATACAGTAAGACAAAACCTCCACTCTTTTGTAGGATTCTGGCCAGTTTCTGGGGAAAATTGTGAGTGAGTTGAACTGTGGTCCTTTGTGCAGCTGGCAGTGCATGCCCAGTATGTACCAGTGTCTCTTGTCTACTAAGAAGCTAGTGTCCGTTCCTGCATAGTTATACTAGGGGATACACACCCTCTTGGATATAGGAATTTCTGAGGTGCAGGCAGGTCACTAATATCGATTGAATATTGCAGGACTTAAGGCTCCTGGTTGCACGTGGTTTCTGAGGGGAAGTCCAAAGTGGCTAAGCTTAGGGAGGTTGAAGATCAGGATATATGCTGCAACACCAAGTAAGTTAGTCCTTTAAACGTGCATGCAGGCGAGATTTCTTGCAACATCAATCATTTATGAAAATCTGTCCTATAAGCCACTTGTGAGGCTGAGGTACCGACCTCAGAGCTCGGTGTCAACAGAGCTTGCCAGGGTAGGCGACTCACTTGGAGGCAGTCCAAACAAATTTTCACAAAGTGGTCCTTCGAAACCGTGATGTGGAATAGCTAGGTTATAATTAACATAGCTAGGCGACAGTTAGGAACCAGTTTAACAGAATTAGGTTAAGTTAGCACACCTAGGCCCAGTCTTACACAGAGGCTAGGCCAAGCTGACTATACACAGAAGTTGTTATTTGCAGTAATTTACAGGCAGGCCAGGTAGGCTAAAGAAGCTTGTGAATTTAATTATTTACAGTGATTACAAGTAATCCAGAGTAGGAGACTTGTGTGTTAATTACTTACAGTGGATTTGCAAGGTAGCCACAGTTAGGCTAGGCTTGTGCAATAATTACAACAGTTATAGTAGCTAGGTCAGATTTAACCTAGTTATTATTTACAGGGAGTTCTAAAAGCCAGGTTTAAGTTATAGTACACTAGTTAGGTTAGGATTTACCTTATCCAACCATCCATGCTAGACTGAGTAAGCTGGGCAGTTAGGCCAAGCTATTTACATACATTATTCATTTACTGTTTCAAAAGTTGAATTGTTGAATTTATTTGTGAGAATTAAGTGATTTTTTAATTTGTATACTGCATTTTTATTGTGTGATTTTTCATTGTCTTTGACTCATTTTTAATGGGGGATTTGTGAATTGTACCACAGACTAGGTTAAGTCCTGTAATTATTTACTGGCATTGTACAGGTAATTGCTAGGTTAAGGTTTCACATCGATACACATTTTGATTGGGTTTTGAGAGCTAACAGTGTACATTTTTGATTCTGAGTAGAGTCAATATAATAAAGGGAGTTGTTAAGCTTGTTGAGAAGCTTTGAGATTCGTTCATTCTTGCCTAATACCGTTCGTGCTGTGGGGTGGGCTAATTGAAGTACAAATTAGTACCGTGATCTTAACTAAACCGCAACTATGGTAGGTGAATATGAAGTACCAGCTGTCCCAGCTCTAAGTCAATTAAAGCAGTCTATGGGAGCCTATAAGGGACGCCTGAGCAAAGCATGTGAGGAGTGTCGTATGGCCAGGCAAGATCAGGATGTAGACTGTGAGGAACTTGAGAGTTGCCTGAAACATTTGGAGCAAAGGCTGGAGGTCTTTGAGAGATCATTTATCCTTTATGAGACAGAGGCCTATACTACAGGTGAGTCTGAATATACAGTCGAGGTTGCACGGACGAACTATGATGAACAAAGGGCAGAGTGTAAAGCAGAGATGAGACTCTGCAGGCAGTTAATAAAGACTTTGAAGGCCGGTACAGCAGGGGCAGCAATTGTTTCAAGAAACACAAACAACAGCACGCCTGTTAATGTGTTGCCCAGATTGCCCCAGTTGAATTTACCAACGTTCGACGGAACCTTGACAGAGTACATTGCTTTCTGGGATCAGTTTAAAGCCCAGATAGATGACAGAGACGATTTGGCAGATGCCATCAAATTACAGTATTTACGTTCAAAGCTCAAGGGTAAAGCCTTGGACTTGGTCCGGCATTATCAAACCACTGACACTAATTACCAACATGCCAAAGACCAATTAAAGGACATGTTTGGCAACACTGAGGTGATAAAGGTAGCTATACTTTATCGGTTGTTGGATCTAGAGGCTTGTCGCCATGACCGTCAGAGCCTAGAGAAGTTCCGAATCGAAGTTATGAGTTTGACAAATAGTCTTAAAGATTTACATGATTGGGGTAAGTCAGAATGGTTCATCAGTCAGCTGATTCAGAGGAAACTGGCTGGCACTACAGTGCATGAGTTACACTTAAAATATCAGACGAATAGGTTCACGATACAACAAATTGTTGAGGGGTTGGGAGATCTCGTTTCTCATTTGAGTATACCTGGAGTTTACCTGGAGAGAGTTCCGGGGGTCAACGCCCCCGTGGCCCGGTCTGTGACCAGGCCTCCTGGTGGATCAGAGCCTGATCAACCAGGCTGTTGCTGCTGGCTGCACGCAAACCAACGTACGAGCCACAGCCCGGCTGATCAGGAACTGACTTTAGGTGTTTGTCCAGTGCCAGCTTGAAGACTGCCAGGGGTCTGTTGGTAATCCCCCTTATGTGTGCTGGGAGGCAGTTGAACAGTCTCAGGCCCCTGACACTTATTGTATGGTCTCTTAATGTGCTAGTGACACCCCTGTTTTTCATTGGGCGGATGGTGCATCGTCTGCCAAGACTTTTGCTTTCGTAGTGAGTGATTTTCGTGTGCAAGTTCGGTACTAGTCCCTCTGGGATTTTCCAGGTGTATATAATCATGTATCTCTCCCTCCTGCATTCCAGGGAATACAGGTCTAGGAACCTCAAGCGCTCCCAGTAAATGAGGTGTTTTATCTCCGTTACGCGCGCCGTGAAAGTTCTCTGTACATTTTCTAGGTCGGCAATTTCACCTGCCTTGGTAGGTGCTGTTAGTGTGCAGCAATATTCCAGCCTAGATAGAACAAGTGACCTGAAGAGTGTCATCATGGGCTTGGCCTCCCTAGTTTTGAAGGTTCTCATTATCCATCCTGTCATTTTTCTAGCAGATGCGATTGATACAATGTTATGGTCCTTGAAGGTGAGATCCTCTGACATGATCACTCCCAGGTCTTTGACGTTGGTGTTTCGCTCTATTTTGTGGCCAGAATTTGTTTTGTACTCTGATGAA